TACTTGTTTTGTTATTTTTAAATTGCTTTAATTGTTACTTTAATTTATATCATATTTTTTTGTGTATATACGTTTTATTTTACTTTTATGTAAATATATACTAATTATGTCTTTAGTTTTTTCTTTGCTTTTTTTTTGTTTTTTTTTTTTTTTTGTTTTTTGTTTTTTTTTTTTTTTTGTTTTACTATATTTTCTTAAGTTGTGCCGTTTTTATTACAATTATTTTAATAACCTGTGGCCATCATCATACGTTTGCTTCTTCTTCTTTTTTTTTTCCTTTTTAATCTTATTTAATAAAAATTTTTCTATATTTTAGTATTACGACAAGTACATAGAAATGTATTGCGTATGTTATTATGTATTTGCGTACGTATGTAGAGATTTCTTTAGTATATAAATAATAATAATAATAATAATAGTTATATAGATTTGTGTTAATGGGTAGTTTCCGTTTTTTATTATTTATATATAATTGATCAATAAATAATTTTTGTATATATTTTTTTGTCCGTTATTTACTACGTTTGCTTTAAAATAGTATATGGTGTATATATGTATGTATGTATGTATGTAACTATGTATGTATGTATGTATCTATGTATGTATGTATGTATCTATGTATGTATGTATGTATGCGTATATGTATGTATAATTATATATAATTGTGTATAATTATGTATATATGTATGTATAGATATATGTGTACATGTATATGTAGGTATATGTGTATATGTTATACATATATCTGCATATATATATATATATATGCGTGTGTGTGTGTGTGTGCATGTATATATGCGTGTGTGTTTATGTTGTGTATTTGTGTTTGCGTGTTTGTGTGAGTTTGTAATAATCTTACTAAAACATTTTTTCAACTGCCGTTTTTATAATATTTTTCTTCCGTTAAAGCAAACTTGCAACGTATGTATGTCTTTTGTTACTTATATATATGAAATATTTATGACACAAGTTTTCAGTTATTTCTGTTTAGAAATTGCAAAAAGAGTAAGAAAAAGTATATATTCGCTTTATGGCGAATCTTTAACGCCCTTTAAACCAGTAGATAAAAATTAAGTATTTTGTTAATAATAACCATATGTTTGATAGCTTCGGAAAATTTTTGTATCAACTTTTTGACCACTATATATATTATAGATAAACGACAGTCTTCTTTTTTCGCTATGATGAGCGTGGGCGGATCATGCACATGTTTAGACTTAAGCAGCGACTCTCGACTAGGAATGTGCGAGCGATATAAGTTAAGTTTCAATTTTTTACTTTTCATTTTCATTTTTCAGCGCTTCGGCAGCAGACGATGAGCGAGACGACGGACAAACGATTAAACACCGCAAAATAAATAAGTAGACGAAAAAGCAAACTTTGCGTGTACAGCCGGGTATATATTTATATATATATAGGTATGTATATATATGTATATATTTCATATGTATATATTTCAAACCATTTAAGGAATTCCATGTCAAAAGGTCGAATCTCTATATTTATAACTGTAAGAGTTTCAAGGATAAATTACAAACGGACAGACAGATGGACACAAAATTATTAACCTACTTGATTTTGACGAGGAATAGATATAATATTCATCGCATGAGAGTGTGTAAGAGACAAATTAATAATAGAAATAATAATAATAATAACAGTAATAGCAACAACAAAAAGTAATATGACAAATTGGTACACAAGGTTTTTTAATTATCACTAACTATTTCGAACTAACAATTCTTTTACGATCTCAGTAAATTCTTAAAAAACACCAAATTGTCTTCGTTTCGTTCGTGCTAAAGAGGAAAAATTACACGAATGCACGAATGTACTCGTCATCGATGCTAATGTATACGCAATTACTAAGCAGGATTGTGCCATCGTAACTCATTATATGTTATTATCGAATAGAGTAAATTTTCATACACATCAATACGAACTCTCCCCATCCTCCTCCCCCACTCATTCTCTCATTCGCAAAAATCTCGTTTGGTTCATACACTCGATCCATCAGTCATTTAATAATTCGCAAAAAAAGTGAATTTGTCGTCTTTCAAAAGTTGGTTATAAGTAAGAAAGGCTGGTATAGATTTAAAATTCTCACTACTAACGAAGATATGAAAAATCCCGACCCCCCTTTTTTTCATTTAAGATGATGGATCCTCTTATTGATCTCTTTCCATCTCGTTGCGTCGTTGCTTTTGGATGGGGAGACACGCCGAATTCGATAAGCATAAAATAGGGCTTTTTCAAAAGATACGGTTCAAGTAGTAGAATGGATATATCAAAAATTCTATGTAGACGAGCCTACCAACATATATAGTTCCAATAGCAACATTCGCTCCTTAATATTATAGAAAATAATGAAAATAAGACGCAAGGCATTTGAAAATGCCATACGCCACCGACGATAAAATCAATCATCGAACGGTTCGAGTTTTTCGATAGTTCAATTTAAAATGGTTTAAGTAAATTATATCCTCACAAAGGAAATTGCGACAACTCACGTCTCACATCAAATGTTCATTTTCACGATAATTGATGAAAGTATAAGGAAAATGTTCCATTTATTGCAGTTAGCTCGCTTGCCTAAACGTAGCTAGCTCTTGGCTAAGAGCTAGCACCATCGTCATCACAGTTTCAAGCTTGACGAAAGGATATATGTCAAGTTCCAATAATAGCGACAATTGTAGCAAGGGCAAGGGAGAAACTGAAAGGTGTTAAAATGGCTGATCAAGTTAATCGATGGATACGCTTCTAATCATCCATTAGTTTCAAATGAAAAATAAAACAGAAAACTACTACACTGATGGATATATCAATTGTTGCGACGCACACAGTACTCCTTTCCCCTCCAAGCGGGATTTGTGAAAGGTGTAAAATATAAATAATAGGACGGACAAGTAATAAAATTGAAGACGGAACCCATGAATTATATATTACTCCTTTCTTTTGGACGTCTTGTCGTCTTAGTATTATACGAGAAGCTATATACAATTAATTATCTTTTTTCTCTTTCTTTTTCTTGTTTGCCTCCATTGGTGCATGCATCTTTCCTTACACAACATGAATCACTCACACTACCATAATAGCATAAGCCAATTAATTGTCAACTTATTTACAATATTTATGGTACTCGTTGAATTGGAAGTGCGCTTTCATGCAGATTGAGAGAGAGAGAGAGAGAACTAAAAAATATAAAGAATCAATTTAAATTTGATCGGAATTTTCGTGTGTTTCTTCTTTTTTTTTTCTTTTTCATTAAAAAACGGTAGTTTTTCTTTTTCCAATTTTTTTTCTTTTCACTATTCGTACTGAGTCGTCTTGTCATTTTTTGTTTTTTTTTTTTTTGTGTTATTACTATTATTATTATTACTTTTTTGGTTTTTCTGTTTTTATCTCATCATACACATTTACTAAAAATATATATGTATATATTATATAGGTTTATGTGTACCTGTGTGTAGTGTATACATTTATGTTTTACCCATATATATATATATATATGTCTGTATTTGCGTATGTGTATACGTAAGTATGTATAGAATGAGCGTTTGTTCCTATAACATCATCGGTTTTTACCATTTTGTCGTTATTGTTGTTGTTGTTCTAGTCATTATCATAAATATTTTTTGCGTATTGTAGTAGTATTTATAGTAATATTAGAGTAATATAGTTGTAATAGTATTTGTTATTTCCTTCGTATTTATTTATTTATTTATTTATTCATATATATATATATATATATATATATATATATAGTAATATATATATATTTATATACATTTTTATATATATACATTTATATATTTATATATATATATATATATATATTATAGTTATATTTTCTATAAATAATTTTTTTTTTTTTTTAATTCTTTAGCTTTAATTTAAATTATTGTAGTTGTAACTGTGGTTTTAATGGTTGCTTGTCGTAGTCATAGTTGTGGTTGTTGTTGTTGTTGTATAATGGATAGTTGTTGTTGTCCTCAAAATTAACATGGATAAATACCTATAATTTTAAAAAATTTACAAATATTCGTAATTGTTTGATAAAATACCAAACACACGACTCTAACGTGCATTTCAAGACTTATAGGTATCTCTGCTCATTTTTACTATTTTCATAGATATTATATATATATATATGTATACATATATAGCTTAATCAAAAATAAAAAATGAAGAAATCTTAAGTACTAGGTGTAATAGTTAATAAAGCAATAGCAATTTTCCAATAGAAGGTATACACCTAAATAATATATTTATACAAGCGTTAGTATCATGCGCGGATCAGTGTAGGCTGAAATTTTATTACGTCTCTGCATGAAGAGTACAAAACGATTTGCGATTTTACTTTTACTCTACCTTCTTCTCACAGACAAGCAGCAAAAGGAAAGAAAACTTTCCAGAATAGCGACCGTTCGGAAGCAATAAAGATTTTAAAATAAAATAGACATCTGCGGCCGAACGCTATGCAAAGAGATGAAAATTTGAAAGTTAATCGGTTGAATACGATGCCTGCCGCCAACAACGCTAGTGAAATAATGGCTTCATGGAAAGTATTTTTCTAACTTATTTACTATATGAACAGTGCAGAGTTGCAATCCGAAGATTGCTCCGAACGTAAACTATCGGGCAAATATGATTAACCGCAACGCGATGAACTTGCCTGACGAAATCGCATAGAAACTGTGACTGAATTCGTTCGCTGAATTAATTCGACGATAAATTTCTTACCAGTAGAGGGAGGGTGTGAAACGGGAAAACTTTGTTTCTGAATTTCGAAACGAAAGAGTTGAAAAAAAACGAAAAAAAATATTCAGTTTTCGAATGGGCATTACTTTGTTGAATGAAAGCTCTGTCTTGATGTATTAAAAGTTTTGCGTTGTTTCTTTTTATTTATTTTTCCTCTTTTTTTTTTTATATTTTTTTTTATTAATTTTCTTACAATTATTTTTTTGAATTTTTCGATACATAGTTTTTACTTTTTTCTCAAATACCTAGAAAAACAAAAAAAAAAAAAAAAAAAAAGAAAAGAATTATAAGTTATATATAGCTCTTGTATGCAAATACATAAGCGCTGTGGCACAGTGTTTTTCTGTGCATTCAGAGCATTTCGAGTTTTCTAAAAACTAAAACTTAACATGTGTTTTTTGTTACAAAAAACATAAAACTAGCCAAACAGAAAAAATGTATATATATATATATATCTATGGATATATAAAATAAATTATCTAGTTGAATTTAAAGTTGCGCTGCATTGGTGCCTCCGTAGGCCAATAAAGTTGGTTCTACTACTCTCACATTGTGTTTATGTGGCATTACAGCATAAATAAATAAAACCAAAAAATATACAACAAAAAATTAAATTTAATTAATCCAAGATATTAAATTTCAATTAATGCATTCACTAAAAAGTGAACATTACAACAGTGTGGTAAAAAAAAAAAAAAAAGAAAAAAAAACATTTAGAACTCTTTCAGGCTATAAATCACATTACGCTGAGGGGGCGCTCATTAAAAAATGTGTTTCAAGCCATCCATAAGAAACGTTATGTAACACCTTGTACGTATTACAAGGTATAAGAGAGTTGAGTTTCGAATGAATCTATTTTCATTTACACTTTTTTCTTTTTTTTAATATAACGCTTTATAGGTATCGAAAAAAGCATTGATTGATGTCAGACGCGAATATGCAACATATCGAAAAATAGGCATTCTTGTTTGAAAGCGCACTTATTTACTCTCCGCTATTAAAGTAAAAAAAAAAAAGAAGGAAAAAACAATTGGTATTTTTAGATGACTAACGTTTGCGCCGAATTGCTGGAATTAAGCGTATAATTTTAAATAGATTTAAACTTGTCTGTCCGTCCGTCCATCCATACTTCTGTCGTTAGCTTGGGAACATTTACAGATCCTAACAGCAAGACGGAAGGCTGGAATTTGGCGAAGTTCTGGGTTGATGATCGTAAAATGCGACCACACAACCAAACATTTCTCAAAATAATAGCGGGACGTCTCTTTCGAATATCAACTGCTGCATTGCAGATAAGTGAATATGTAAGGTAATATAAACCGTTTCACTGTAACTGTAACGAATCAACAGCATTTTCCGAAAAGTTTGGTTCAATCACTCTGCCAGCCAACTATTTCGGAACCTCAGATATAATAATTTTATCTCGGCGGATGAGAACCACCCTCAGTACTCATCATAATTTGATTTTAAAACATTTTGATCTCACACCTTCCTTCATGTATTTCTGGCATCTAATCAACAAAGAGTGGCTGAAGGCCACTTTTCGAGTTTTCTATTAATCGATAATGTTGCCTGATACAGTGAGAAAAGCTTTAGGAAAAGTAAGAAGTCGCAGAGCCACTTATGGTCGAAATTGATATCAAAAATTTATGAGTGCAATTTCTAGGAATAAAATTATATATACCTCAGGGTACACTAATAATTGATTTAAATCGTTTAACAAGAACTGTTGCTACAATCGTCGTGACTATCTACTGAGCGGAGAAACTAACTGTCATCGCTGAAAATTTTTGATCAATGTTACTTTAAAGCCGAAATAGTGATATTATAGAGTAGAGTACAAGAAATATTTTTTGAACAACAAAGTCTGTACTAAAAGCACATAAAAACAAGAGCATTTCTCTCCTCCTCCTCCTCCTCCTCTGCTGCTGCATACCTTTTCAAAGGGCAATACACAAAGAGAATATTAAACTTAACATGCCTTACTTTACTGACAAAACGCGTAAACCAAAAAGTAATGCATCATATATTGGAGATTTTTTTTTTTTTTTTTTGAATTCCATCTAAGTTTGGGCGGATTTACTGTAATTACTCTTGAAGCTTTTGCGGTTTTTGCTTTTTCCCAACAACAAACGGACGTTATGTAGAGCAAACTATTATGGGTAAACTACATTTAACTAAATCTAAAAGTCAAGTTAAGAGCACTGAAAGGTTATTTTGAATAATTAAAGAAGTAGAAGAAAATTGGATTTAGGTTTTAAACAACTGCCAAACAAAACGCAGTTTCATCTAAACACCGGACTCGTTCGTAAAGCAGTTAAAATTTGATGTATTCTCACTTCGAAGGGGGGCTACTACTCTTCATTACTCAACCCCGACTTGTGCGTGTGAATGAATGTGGGGTTGGCTGTGGGCGTGGTTGGTTGATTAAGCCGATTGAAATCGTTTTTCAAAAGATAGAAGAGATAAGGTTTTGCATCAATTTTTTTTAGTTGACTTGTTATGTACATTGTGCTATTCGACGACGGAGTCAGCCCGTAATTGCTTAATTATCCTCTTCTATTTCAAAACATTACTATTAAGACGGACGGACGGACATAAATGAATAGTCCGTCCACGTTTATTCACACGTGAGCACGTACATGCAGACGAAAACTTCGCCCATTGCGCACAAAATTTTTCGTATGCGGGTGTCGAGCACCACGTCGCTATCCTTTCGCTACTCAAGTGTCAATCATTTTAGCTTTGCATAGTATTTACCACACTGTACATTTTTGGCGAACTTAAAAATTTTAAAAAAATTATAAGATTAACACACACATACTACTACTACTACTACTGCTACTACTACTACTACTACCACTTCGATTGCAAGCGAAACAAAAAAAAAGAAAACCAAGGAAAAAAAAAACTCAACCAACCCGTAAAAAATAAGTAAATGCAGTTGTAGTAGTAGGTCTTATTATGTTTTTAGTGGCTTGAAGTAGTAGTGACTATTTTTCGATTTTTTATTTTTTATTTTGTTTTTGCTGATTACATACCTTGATAATTTTGGGGCCAAATGGTGGGTACATTCTGTTAATATTAAAAATTTAGAAAGAAATAAAAAAGAAAAAGGATATTACATAAGTATAAACAAAAAAATATACTGAGAATTTATATATATATATATATATATATATATATATATATATATATATATATTTACATACAAGTAACAAAGCGAAAAATACCCCAGAGCCCAATTACTTACCATTGGCACACTGTAGTATTGATAGAATGGTTGATATTGCATTGAAGGTGGGTAAATTGTTGGCACACCAGCTGCAGCAGCGGCTGTAAAATCATTAACTTTGAGTTTATTATAATGTTATGTTAACAACAAAAACATGGATCATAAAAACAAACAATCAAAAACAAATGATATTTTTTTTTTTTAATTCTTCTATTAGGTCCGTTACGAAAGTCTGGGATTGTGTCTGGGAAAGTCGGGAAATGTGGCCTTCTCGATTTAAACGGCCTCAAAAATAAGTATGTGGTAAGACATTTCACTTTTTATGCACGCAACTGGCAGCAGATGTGTCCTCTTTTCCCGAGTTTTAAAAGCGAAATAATCTTCCCTTTGAGGAAAGCTTACAAGAAATAATAGCGAAACGTATTGATTCAAATTTTGAATCAATTCAATTATATCAGAAAGAGCTCCCCCTTCCCCTCTTCCCACTTTCTCCATCTTTGTTTCGTTTGGCTTAACGTGATTATTAACGTGTAAAGTTGAGCTATTCAGTCATTTCTTTTCACATGTCATGAATCGGACAGAGTTCCTTATACCTTCTAATATCCTCATGCGGATAAAAAACAAAAATGCAAAGATTGACAAGTACTCGTTTAACGCTGTATGCGATGTCCCCTTGTATAAGATAGATAATATATTTTCCCCTTAAAGGCTGGGCCTTAACGATTTTCTTTTCCCTGCCCCTCCCGTATTGAGTGTGAGAAACTCGTAATAGTAATATTACGAAATATTATGAGAAGAATATTTGAAATGAAATTACCTGCTGCTGGTGGATAAACTGCGGCGGCAAATTGATCAATAGGCATATTGCTAATGGGGGCTGGTGGTGTGGTAGTGTAATAAACAGCACCATTTGTAGCCACAATAGACTGCAAATGAAAATGCGAAATTAACAAATTTTATTATTATTTTTTTTTGTTTTACGAAAGGGATAGTGTTACCTGTTTTTTTATGGCTGGCGCTATATTTAATTTACGATCCCTGAGCACAACGCATTCACCCTGTTTTTCGTTATGTGATTGATTGGGGAGGAAAAGAGAATTGAAAATTATTTTTTAAATAAACAATAAACTTCTGCTAATACTTTTCAGTTTATTTGATGGTATAGATTGAATTCATTTCGAACAAAAATTAGTAAAAAATATGTAACGTTATGTAACTTAAAGAAACTTTTTGTAAAAATTTGTTTGCAGTTAAAGTATGAACGCAACGTCAACACAAAGAAGGTAAAAACGTATTGAAATTGAACCAACCAACCAACGAACGAACGAACGAACGAACGAACGAACGAACTCGAACTTTAAAACGCTCATCTAAGGATTGATTTTTATTTTCCATTATATGTATACATGTGTAAAAAAAAAAAAAAGAATCAATTGAAAAATTGTAACGCAACGTAATCAACTCGTTAACACAATTTTACACATTTCCAAGGCATGATAGTGTTTGTCATTTACAAAACGTTTTCGCATTTAACTAAAATGTATATAATCTAATAATAAAAAGGAAAATTTTTGTATTTAAAAAAAAAAAAAAAAAAAATTTGAAATCAGAAAACACAATAAAAAAACAAGAAAGACATATAATTTTAAGAAGAAAATAATAATAATAATAATAAATAAATAAATAAATGAAGGCGTTTTTATTCGCAATTTCGGAAACTTCGTCATCTTAGTTAACAGAGCAAAATTTTGGAATACTGGCAAAACTTTCTTTTCGAAATAAGATAACGAAGACACTAGCAACAACAAAAAGTCAGTATTAGTAAAATGGGTTACACTGTATAATAAATAATTTTTTCTACAAATTGAAAAGTTATCACTGTTAGTCACTTGGAGGCTTGGTAAGCAAAAAGCCTAAACGATCTTTTAATTACAACAACAAAAGTGCTTAACTACGAAGCGAAAATATATTTAATGCGTCAGCTGATTTTAGAGTTGCAATTACTAACTAAAGCAGAGGTGGCCGGCCAACCTGTCAACCTCTAAACGAATTTGTATGGCATAATGTACGTATACTGTTCAATAAAATATGTGCAAAAATAGATGGCATTATTATTAATCGTTTGAGAAACAGTCACATTTTTTCTGTAAATTCAGTTTTTTTATTTTTCTTCTTCTTTTTCATCTGGTCCATACATCCCAACCCGTACAGTTTCTTTTGCTTTCTTCTTTTGAAATGGATTCAATGGAACTTCAACGATTGTTGTATTTACTTGGAAGTATTTTCTAGATGGAACCCGCGCGCCCGTTCGAAGCAATTTTTGAAACAGTTTTATTAGAGTTTTGACAAGGACAGCCACCACGTAAATGCGACTAGAACCGATCAAACCAAAAGAATAAACATATGTGCGGACAGATGGGATTATTTGGCGAAGCCCACTAAGCCAATGACTGTTGCTGATCAAATATAATAAAAATAAAGGATTTACGAGAAAGGCCTTTATCGCATCATATGCTAATTTAACCATCAAAACTTACTTTTCCTGCGTAATTCGCGAAAGTAATTACTACTGCTGAGAAGTGTGTCTGAAAAGTGTACTACAGCTCCCGATGTCACAATCTGAGCATTGAAATCTGCAACAAAGTCCCATATTCTTGTATCCCTGATTTGACGAGTTCCTTCAAGCGAACGAAATCCTCATTAAAGACCACTACAAACAATAATTTGTAAGAGAATTGAACCAAAAATTAAAATCATAAAATTATCCCTTCCAGAGCAGCATTCGAGGGTTATTCCGATTCAGTATTATCACTGAGAATTCTGCCCCTAGTATGGTTTCTTATAACGATTCCTTTTATAGATAGCCTCGGAAAGATTCGAAATAGTTGGGGATTTTCTTACCATTTTGGCCGGATTAAAGTTCCAATTTTCACAAAAAATTTCTTAAATGAATAAATAAATCTTTTTAGTGGTCATTCCACAACAGAGTGATCAAATGAAAATAGCTCGAGTCTTTCGAATAGATTCATAAATAGGAAAAAATTTAATCTTGCGAAGCTGGAATTTGCCTTACTTGTCGATTGTGAAGAAATATACTTATTCTAATGATTTTCTGAGACCAAGGTATATTCCAAAGTTCAAAAGGCCGGAAAGTGTTCTTACATTGTAAAACAAAAAATAATAATAATAATAATAAATAAATAAACAAAAGATGCATGGAAATCATGAAAAAAATGCGAGAAGTTTCTAATGTCGAGCGTTTGAAGGCCCAATAACATCGTTTACCGTGTACCTCATAAAATAATTTAAAAACTGATGTTCCTGTTATGTATTCACTTTATCGAAGGAATAATAATATTTGTTTTATTAGAGAAATATTTCGCATAATCGCTACCAAACGATTTACATAAAAGCCCCACATACTTGCCAAAAATCAATCAAAAATAGTTTATAAGTCTGTGGAGAAGGATTTCTTTCTAAAGCTTGGTAGCGCAAAAATCTTCAATTAAGCTTGATGAACACATTTTATTTGATTTCATGATTTTATTATGTTAAAAATATATAAAGCAAAAAAAAAAAAAAACGTGAGCAAAATCACTGAAAAAAACCACAGATGAGAGATTATTATATTGAAGAAATGAATCCACGCCTATATTCTTTTGCAAATTACGGGACACAACGAGCGCTAATATCGTCCACCAAGGTTGAGTCACATTGTCAAGTAATGAGGGCTTTGTCTTGAGCTCGTTACTCGATATACATTTTCGAAATGCATTATGAGTTCCTTCTGTATATGGAAGTGAACACGAAATGGATTATATTCCTTGCCCTATATGCTTTTTTCTTCCGATCACTCGAAACTTATCTGGGCAGTACTTCGACTTTCACAATGTGAAAGATCCTCTGCACCCTCTAAAATTTAACCTTAGACGCGATCACTTGTAGCTTCTCTGAGTTGTGCCTTGCAGCTCGAAGAAGACAACAAAAGGTAACACAATTTCGCATCCCCCCGAGCTGATGCATAGTGCTTCTAATGCAATTGGCATGCTGGGGATGACATCAATTCTTTTTGTACGATTTTCCTCTACGCGAATTAAGTTATTAGAAATAATTTTTTAGAATTAAGTTACATAGACAATAAGTCAGTCAGTCAGTCAATCGTTCTATTTACGGTTAACTTTGAAAAGTATATATAACAGTAACGAAGAAGAAGAAAGGGGTTTAGGTTCAGTTTTACATTGGATAAACTTTATCGTACACAGCTATATTTACATACGTGCTATGTATGGCTTGGCTGAAAGAGCGACAATTTGAATTGAATTGGCAGTAAAGGCATGAGAAATCTAAATACATTTGCCAAAAATTAGACAATACAAAAAGAAAAAAAATAATAAATCATAAAATCATTTTGAAAAGCGATATAATGTTAAGCGTAAAAACATGAAGTCAGGAAACTGTCGAGTGCAACGTAATGAAAATAAGAAAAGAGGCTCTACAAGCGGTAGTAGTATTGCATAAATTTCCCTTTTAAAATTTTTGTTTTTCAATTCCTTACACAAAAAAGAAAAAAAAAAAAAAAAAAAAATACTAGCAGCTAGTTGTATACCAATGAAGTACTCTCAAGCGTAAAGTCTTTAATTATGAAGGAAGAAGAAGTGTAAGCACAAAAAAACCAACGAAAAAAAAAAAAAATCTCACAAACGAATATGAGCAAAAAGCGTTTTTTTTTCTTTTTTTTATCTCTTTTCATTTCATACTAAAAAGCATTATTAATTAATTAGTAGACATTTTTCTTTTGGTTGGTGAGGAGGCGAGAAATTAAAGTGCAGAACTCTGTTGGTTGACGGTGCTATTGTCGATAAGGGAAGAAAGCAACAAATGTGGATTTCTTTCTACTAAATACATGGGGAAAAAAAGTGAGCTTTGTACGACAACAATATGGGAAAGGAGAAACAACGACATTAGTTGGAGTATATGTTTGTGTACATGTATAGAATAATGATTAGAGCAAAAATGGTGAACGGTATTAATTGGGAAATTTTTTAATTACGGCAGGAAATAATTTTGTTATTTTTATTTTTTTTATTTTTTTTTTTTTAAGTAAAAAATCTACCTAAACTTTGTATTATAACAATTAATATAAAAGAGAACAAAGTAAGGCAACTAACTATATACGGATTGAGACGAATATTCCCATTACCCATCACAATCCCATCTGGATATCAACATGTATAAAAATTGCAAAGTTTATTACATCAATAGTCAATTGATTGACCACAGTCACCTGTGGAGCGACATCATTTTCTCGTTTTTATTGTTCTCCAGAATTTCAGATTTGCTTTGCTTATTAGCTTGTACATAATACAAGTTTTTAATTATTGATAATATTGTTGGAATATTTTCACTTTTTTTTTTTTTTTTTTTTTTTTTTTTTTGATATTTTCATATTTCATTTTTCCAGCCACTGTTGGGTATCGCGTGAGGTGCGACCAAATGCAATTTGTTTTCAAATTCAATGTATGTCAAGCGTCAAGCTGGGCCTTGAGAATTTAAATGAGCGATAACCGATGAACGGACCAGCGAAATCGGGATTGGTATATCGCTGGAATGGTATTTCGGGGTACGGCAATATGAAAGAACCCAGAATTCGTACAATATTTCGCCATCTTCGATGGATCGAAGACTATGCTTTGTGACCTCCCTCATGAATCGAGATGTATTTCTGATAGAGTCAAGAGTTCAGATCCCTTTCTTCCTTTCCCTTTCCCTCTCCCGTTAGGGGAAAAAAATTGATCTCTGATGACCAACAAATGTTGAATATTGACTACAAAAATGCGTTTCATTTATGATGCACCAGTACTCCAATTTTAGAATCTCACAATGCATCGTTGTGGTCGTGGCAAAGCAATTGGCAAAATGTGTAATGTGAAATAAGAAAAATTTCACTTAAGAAATGAGAGAAAGTTTATATAATAAAATATTTAACTTAAAAAAAAAAAAAAAAAGAAAAATTTGTTTTTTTCCATTTTTTTTCAAAGTGCAGAGAAAAACTTTGTTTAACATTTTAATGGTTTTTTCTATGTCCCTTTCGTACAGGATGACAAAATTTCTTCGTTTTCCTTTTTGAGAAAATGAATTTCTTTATTTTATGCAAGTTTAAAATGTAGGTTAACGAGTAGGGAACCACACCGCCACACTATTCGCCATTGTGTCTGTGTGGAAGATGATTCTGAAGGCTACAAAGTATAACGTTTTAATTATAATTTTTATATTTATATATGTGCACGCATATATGTGTGTGAAGTACAAGTCTGTTCGTACTCATATAATAAACGAGAAACTTTTCAGCAGTTGTTATTTGTTTTCTGCCATACAAAACAGGACATTACGAATAATTTTAAGAGAAACATGTACGAATAGTCATGAAATGAAAATTCAATAAAGGGTAGGAAAAACGTATATAAACGTATATAAAGCAAAATAGCACAACAACTCAAATTCACATCCCTAGCGAAATTGTCGTTGCCTACTCAATTAACTATATCTCGGGTCTTGGCAATAGCAGTGAATGCCAAATGTTGTTTTAAATAGCAACCGTGACATGATCGATATCTCTGGCGATATCTGGCCGATTGAAATGGGAAAAATTTTTAGAGATTAAAAATTAACTAAACTCTTATCAGATTTTTCGCGTTCATCATTCTGCGGAGTTTAAATATTAATCAAATATGCCGTTATGGTAGTCAGCAAAGATCACTTGATCCAGATTTATTCTTCTTATATTACGACTATGACAACGTAATCTCGTATGTGAATACCTATGCTAAAAGCAACATGATTATTAGACTGCCGTCATATCATTGGAGTGAAAACAAAATCCCAAGACCAACGCAATTTACTTTTTTCTAATCAAGGAGATTATTAGGAAAAAGATTAGGAATAAAAATCATTTTAAAGTCCATAAAGAAAACATTATTCCAAAATTCATGTAAAATTTGAATTTTGCGCCATTCTGGATGAATCTCGAACATTCTGCTCGCCCTTCAGCTTACACAAGACCGAAGCAGTTCGTGAAAATGTTTGCAGGGATTTCAGGCACGGAACGGACATTGATTCGGCACACTGTTCAAGTATTGGACATTTCGAAACATTTGAAGTTTCATTTCAGGAAATCCTCGCGAAAGACATTTAACCGAAATGGTGTGCTCTACATGGACCCCATGCTCTCTAGATATACCTCCCATTTATAAATAAGCATAAGGTTTTAATTTAGTCCTACGCCAAAAAATCCTCTTGAAGGCCATTTACCCGATTTGGTGTTCCTTATATGAACCCTATGCTCTGTGTGTATTTCTCATATATCACACGTTCAACATATGTTAGATGTTCGTATTTGCTTGGGTGATGACGCTAATACACTCTCGACAACTATTTTAACGGTTGCGGCGTCAATTTGTGGTTTTATTGTTATTTTATGGCAAACGAATTCGCAATTTATTAAATAATTTATTGAATTTTAATTAATTTATATATAAGTACTTTAGAGAAAAACCACCTACGGATATAAAAATCCACCTTAAAATGAAATGATTTACAAATTGAAGCCTAACACATACACAAAAAAGAAATAGATTTGATAAATGAAACCTCCTCTATATATATGTATACATATATATGAATGATGTTTACTAAAAAAGGTTAGCAAAATAATTTAAAATATTTACAAAGCTTTAGGGCTTATTAAATAGCAACAACAATAAAACAACAATGAAAAAAAAATAATAATAAAAATAAAGAACACAGCAACAACAGAATTCGAGTGGGCGGATGATAATGATATAAAAGACGGAAGGCCTTAGAAATCGATATGGGGTGTACAGGAGGAAATGCAAATATGCCACAAAACGAATTGATTACTATATTTACAAAACGTCAAGTCATCAGCTTAAGGGCGCAATAAACTAATTCATAATTGCATAAATGTAAATGTGATCAGAGAATAAATTAAAATTCGTCTTTAGATGCATTTTTCGCAATACATTACCAACGCTCCCAACACAATCTCAATACCTAAGTTAGTCACTCTTTGTCGCAGAACAGAAGACAGTGAGAAGACAGTAAGACTGCACCGTGGCGAAATAACATATCAAGTCATATTTGTAATTTTCAATTACTGTTTAAAATTTGAAAACTTCCAACAATAGGCGGAATCACAAGAGAGGCGGCAATCGCAAGTGGCAAAAAAAAAGAAAAGTTTTTCAACATTTTTTACGCTCAACTTAAATTGCGTAACTAAGATATATAAATATGAATTTTCAGGGTAATAAAAAGAATACAAAATAAAAAAAAAAAGGAAGTCTGGCAAACGCTGCTTGCTGTCCTTTACAAATAGTTATAAAATAATTACAATATTTATGATCAAGTGAACAAAAGGCACTTTTAGGCAACCTATTTTTACATATGATAAATGCGCCCACACACAACAGAAGAAGAGAACAAATTATTAGGTCTATACAAGGGAGGATATGATAGATAAATCTGCTCTTTTTTTTTCTTCTTTTTTGTTTTAATTCTTGTACAAAAGGTCAACTTAAGTATTTTTCATAATAATAAAAAGAAAGGAAAAAAAATAAATATGTGTATATTTATATTTGTGTGATATGAGCCCAAAAAAGTCGACTTTAATATATAATCAATAAAAATAGCCTTAAGGAAGACTTTTAATTTTGTTAAATAAACAAGACTAAAAGTATACTTTAAAAAAAGGCAATTTTTCAAGTTGACATGCACTTTTTTTTTGTTTTTTTCAATATTATTCTCCGTGTTCTACCTAGCGCGTAAGCCAATTAATAAATATTCAATTATTTATCAACAATGTGTTATATAATATTCATGAGCAATCAACAGAACATGTTAAACAAAGTTTCACAATACAGCACTGCTTTCGATTCATGGCGTTTTTGATTCAATGATTTGCTTTTATACCCACCACCGGAGGACAAACATGATGTACTACTTCCTCGTTTACACAATTTATTTGATACATATCTTAATATTCGAATCAGAAAGAAAATTGCATGGGTTATATATGTCAGCTACTGTTGAATTTGAATTAAAAACTAGGATAGAGTGGATGGATGATCCGAAAAAAGAAAAAAAAAGAGTCGAGAGTGAAAAATCAATTTGGGGCATTGGCACATAGCATCGTATGTGATGACTGATTAAACAATCAGCTGATGGTCACTAAAACTTTGGGTCCCGTAAGGACTTAAGCTTCCGACAGGCGACACCAGGCGACCAGCCTACTAAAATCACATTTGGCTATTGCGTGCTGGACAGTGCCTATTGGCATCCCAAAGACATAATCGATAATTTTTACAAAAAAAAAACTATCCCTACATATACGCAATTGTCGCTGAACCTGTATGTGCAGAGTTCAGTTCCTGAAACCAAACTTGACTATATAAGCAAGCATTTCTTCATTCGTAAAAAGCCCTAAAATAAAGACAATTTCACAACTGAAAAAGTATTTTGTAGCTCGACTACAGCCCTCAAAATGGCAGTGGTGGGTATTCAAAATTCGCCTTACGGCAAATACCGAATTTTTTATTTTTGGTTTTTTGCTTTTTATATTTTTTATTTCAATTTTAAATATAGAAAGAAACTCAACTTTCAATTTGCAACAAACACAAGAATTTAACAAAAACGCACTAAAATTTGCTTTTCTCTCTTTTTTTTTCATTTTTTGTGTTTTCCATTGCCTGCTGATTTCTATTTGTAATTTTTAGTAATAAAAATTTATTTTAAAAAAATGTAAAAAACTGAACAGCAAAAGTATAGAAAGAGAAAAAAAATAAGAACAACATAAGAATATGTAACGAAAACGAAATGTTTGCTTTGGATGTTTAATCATAAAAATAGAACAACACAAAGATCTTCTTCTCTTTCCTTTCATTTCGGTTGCGTGAGCTGTGGTAGTTTACTCTTAGATGAAGCAGAAAAAATTGAAACACACACTTTCTATTTCTTTTTGTTTTCTCTTGCGTTTCTTTTTGTTACGTGGACTTGCGGTAGTAGTGTTTCACACGCACGTTTCGTTTCTTTTTCTACAGGTACATATATTTAATATATATATATATATATATATATATATATATATATATATATATATATATATATATATAAATAAGTATTGTTTTTTTTTTCTTTTTTTTCATTAAATCATTTTTAGGTTATGTCCTGCACTCCGTCATAGTATATGTGTAAAAGAAGGGTGTACATGTTTGAAAAAATAAATAAATAAATAAAAAAAAAAAACAAAGAATAGATTAATTCAGGCTTTTCTTTAATTGGGAAAAAAACTCACTGCCGCGATGTTTATAAGAAAAAAAAAAACAAAAAAAAATTTTTTTTTTTCAAACGTCTTCTACATTTTTAGGGAGTTTTTTTTCGCTTAAAGAATTTTATGCAGCAAAAAGCTATGTGTGAAAGCATTAGAATTAGAATCTTAAGGACTTACATCAGTTTGCAGGCGTTGAGCTTCTTGTTCCGTTTCGAACGTAACAAACCCGTATCCCTTGCTAACACCAGCGCGATCCACAATAATTTTAGTTGATTTAACATTACCGTAGGCGGAAAAGACGCGACATAAATCGGATTCAGTGGTATCACCGCTAAAAAAGTTAATTAAGAAAAATGTAAGAATATGCAAAATTGGAGAGAAATGAAATGACAACTTTGCAGTGTCGTGTGTGCGTGTTGTAACGTGAAATGCAGAAACTTGCATCTAAATTATTTTTATCTCATTACGAAAGGTTAACAAACGCAATGATTGCCTTTTCGACAAATATCGTAACTGGAGGACGACATGGTTAGAGAAACATACGGTAGCAAGGGAAATTTGAACTCTTGATTTTTGTTTAAGCGATAAGCGCGTATAGCAACAATAACAATAAAATAGTGTTATTTACGTTGTTTGTGAGGCTCGAACTGGCTTAACATAAAACGGTGGAAAATTTTTCTATTTTTGTCAAGGGAAAAATTTATTGCAATCGCTCGATAATACGAGTGTTTTCGACTTTTTATAGCAATTCCCCTTCAGAGATTTGATAAATGAATTGAAAAATCGATGAAATAATTCTCTTAAGTTTCGAGAAGACTACATCTGGCACTACTTACCTCCGGTATTGCCTATAAAATTTCCGTATAATATATTATAAATAATTTCATTCAGTAACGCAATTCAATCGCAATACGAAAAAAACGAGTTGAAGAAGAGCGAAGTTAATCGTTAAAGCTCTCGACTCGATTGGGAAATAAAATTACTGATTACTGAACTCTTGGCACTAAAACGCAGATATAACCCCCCTAAGCCACCGTTAAGCGGACACGAGAATACCTCAATGGTCGATTAAATCGTTAATAGGTAAACCGTTTGAAGGGCGTAAAGCTGTAAACGGCCCTATTTTTTATAACATATACTTATTATTATGCAAAATAATGTATATGTGTTGATATCGTTATCGATATGTATACTGCACTACAGTATTACGTACCCGTTATGAGAGTTCAATGACTATGAGTAGAGATGGATCGGTGTTTTATTATATGACATTTCTATACGCATTACATGTATATGTGTGTATATGTATATATGGCTGTGTTCATATAAAAGAGGGTAATAGAGAGCTTACCTTATACCGCCTACAAAAATTCTATTCGGTATCAGTGTACCATATTTGGGCGCTGATAGGGGAGCTTCAAGAGCCGCCGTCGGCGCTGCTCCGCTCGGTGCTGCCATCTTATGCATTGTTTGTGGATGAATTTTAAAATTTGCCGCTATAGGTAGAATTTTGAATGTGTTGTTAATTAAGGCGTTTGGTGAAACAAAAGCGCCCTTGCAAGCAAGCAATCAATAGAAGTCGAAAAAATTGAATTTTGACGACTTCTATTATTAGAAATGTTTTTGGAACTGTTGTTGTTCTTCTTGTTGTACTTTCAATTACTCTTAAATGATGTAATTGAGATGACGTATTGCCAGATAATGTTGTCAATATTTTTATAATAATTATAACACAATTATCGAAAACTCTAACAAATTGTACGCGGGTGCGCAAGTAAACGAATAAAAAAAAAAGAAGAAGAAGAAGAAGGAGAAGAGAAGAAATAAATGCAATATTATGATTGACAACAATCTATATCTATATATATATATATATATATATGTATATATATGTATATATATATGTATATATATGTATATATATATGTATATATATGTGAATTTATATACATATAATGCGGTAAAAAGTTGATGCGCTTACTATATGTGTCTGTGATGTTTGTACAAGAAGGCGAGACAAAGAAGAAGAGAAATGGAGCGACTGAGATTCAATATTTTCCAGAATGGCTTTTTACGTTGCAAGTTACAAAGGCAGGCAATTAGAAGATATCTCGCCGATATCTATATCATTAATATAATAATAATAATAAATATATAACTGCAGTAATAATAATAATGAGTCTCCTCGATTGGCTTCTTTTTTGTGTGATTTGTTTTATCTTTGTCTACTGTTGCGAATTTTAACAACCAAATTTCGATCACTCGTTAAGTACGTATTGAATGTGAATACAGTGGTGCGTGCGGTAAATATTCAGATTAATACAGCAGCGTCCGAAGCGAAAGAAGCCAATGCTATTGCTTTTTTGGTGTTGATGTTGATTTTGATGTTGCTGTTACTGTTGCTGCTATTTATTATTGTTGTTATTTTTGGTGTTGCTTTGATTATTTATGTTTCTGTTCGAGCACAAATAGAGAGTGTCGCAAACACTGACGATAGATATTTTTAGATAAACGACTGCGTGCGACTTCGGCGGCTGAAACGTTTACGCTTTGTCACGTTTTTTTTCTTTTTCTCCTTCTTCTTGTTCTTCTTTTTATTTTGTGTTTGTTTTGCAGCAGCTAGAAGTTTTTCGATGTTTTCGCTTTTCTTCGCCTCTTAAAATTATTTCGTTTCAATTTCTCTCACAATGTTTTCTCACAAAAGCAACAAAACAAACCTTTAGAATATTGCTCTGCTGTCTGTCTCTTTGTTTTTTATTTCTTCTTTTGTTTTTGTTTTTTTTTTTTTTTGTTTTCTTATTTCTACTTTTTCGCTTTTGTCTTCCTTTTCTTCTGCTTTTTATTTTCCTTTTGTTCCTTCTTCGTCGTTTTTATAATGTTTACTTTGTGTCGTTGTTGCTCTTCTTGCTGTTAATTTTTTCATACAAAAATATTTTAATATTACGTTTATGTATGTGTTTGTTGTCGTTAGCAATCTGTTTTCTTTGTATTCTCCTCCTTTGACTGTGAAAAGAAGAAAAACGAAAGAAAAAATTCCGTATATAACTTTCGTTTCAAATTTTAAATGTTTTATTTTTATATAAAATTTATTTAAAAAAAAAACGAAACAAAATTCGAATTAAATTTTAATTAAATTTTGGGTTGAATGCATGCGAACAATGCTCTCGTTAATTTTACACGTTCTACATACTAAGGCAATCACGACTTCAATAAAATTGCATTTCCTCTGCCTAAATCGCAAACAACACAACACAATGCAACGACATTGTCACAACAAAGAAAATTCAAATTCTCAAGATTCTGATTAAAAGAAATTGCAAATCGATTTCCAATTCTTCCTAGGTCTTTTAAGGGCAATCAGATTTTCAATTTAAATCTTTATATTACAAAAACAATACAAACGATATTTCGGGAACAATCATATGTCACTCATTCGTCCCAATACAATTGTACAAATGTACAATTTACACCGACAGATAATGAATATAATGAATAGTTCGTGTTAAGGCAAAGAAAAGATTATTATAATAAATAATTTTGGCATCATAATTTAAATTTTTTCCCCATGTAGTTGTTTCATACTTGGATATTTCAAATTTGCAATTTTTATAGGCTGCGATATAAACATCATCGGAGGCCTATCGATCTGTGCATTCGCGACTTCGCGGAAATTTAATTGAATCCTAGTTATTCAACGACTCGAAAGTTCAAAATCTTAACCAATGCAATCTTTCTTAAATACTTTCTCAATCTCTCAGTAAATCAATAAAATTAATTATATCTTGCGCTTATCCCACCATCGCATGGTGAAACGTAGGCGATTGAATAATCGCGATAATATTAGTTCTATTATAGTTCTGTATATGCTTAGCCGGGGATTGTTTTTAAAAAAAATGTAATTTAATCGGCGCTGCTTATCGATTAGTGAAAAATAATTGCAATTGGCAAGTCCGTGTCTGCGAACTTGTTTCTTTACCATAGCATCATATACCAATACTGGTTTCGTTTTTCGAGTTTTGCTTTTGTAAAAAAATCGAACAATAGGCTTTTTTTCAATTAAACTCAGTTCCTGTGCAGAAGAGAGCGGCCGGTTTACTTCACGACGGATATGTTTGGATTAAACTAGACTAGCTTAAGATGAGTATAAAAGTCTTTTCCGCTACACTCTGCTTTTCGCTTTGCCAGCAGCAAAAGCCAAGAAAAATTAATCTCTAACAAGGCATTTAAAAGAGTCATATGTGGCATATAGCATATTGTGCTGTGTAATTGATTCTGAAAAAAAAAGTGGTTTATTTGCCACCCGTTTTCTTCATAGTCTCCTCAAAATTGCAAATTATTAAGTAAAGCAAACTATAAGAGCGTTACGCGTATGTTTTAAAGAAAAATTTTCTCATGGCTGACACAAAACAAGTCGCACAAGAATTTTATTGCATTTCGATCAATTGCTTAACCCGTTCGCTACCAGATCTTGCGGGGAAAAACATTCATCATATTGCAAGATTTTTTTTTCATGATTTTTTTTATGATCACTTCGAATGGAATAGATTTTTAGGAAAAAAGTGAAAAAAAGTTACTTTAAACTGACGCAAATATATGACGTCGGGCCGTGGGTCGGACTGAATTAAGAAGCTACGCAGGCAAGGGCAACCCGAATTTCGTCTATTGATTACAACTAGGTCACCGCTTAAGCTCAGCAATTCTTCTCTGTCGAACAAATAGTATCTCAGCTACCGACTGATGTTGAAAAGTGTTTTTGATACCAGAAAACATCGGCGAAAACCCTCAAATCGTAAATAATACTCTTAATCAGGAGATAGTGTTGACTTTCTAAATTACATTGATATTATGTTAGATGAAAACTTGAGTATGATGAAACCATTTTGTAAACACATACATGGAGAAAAAATTGCATAAACTCAAGTTTGACTTGCTATCCCACCCATAATATTCTTTGACACCTAACGACTACTATCTGCTTGCCATTCTCGAAGGGAAGCGTTAGAGATAAAAAGCAAAAATGAAATGATGGGGCCACTGGGGAAACCGGAACGAATTTCGAAGGTCTGAATACATCGTTCTAAAGAAAAAGTATCAAAATACTCTATGGTGATCAGTTTTGTACAACAAAAAAAGAAAACAATTCTTGCTATGTGTCGGAACTTATTGCCTGATGTACTTTTTATTTATCTGTGCTTATACCAAGGCAAAGTCGACGCGCATTCTTGCATTCAACTGAACTCTACCTACAACAAAGATACCATTCCATGGAAGTTTTTTTCATTTTCGGATTAAGCGAGCCTATTGGCAATTTCAGATAACTTTTTGGGAGAATATGTTAGAATAGAAGAAGAACTACATGGCGTTTTTCATGAACATTTAAACAGACCTAAGAAAGCTTTACATTGTTACAGTTACTGCACAGAAGGAAACAAATGATAATCTACGAGTGCGTTATATGGTGGATGTGGCAAAATTTCCTAGCCTAACTGCCTCAATCTAAGGTAAAAGTAGTCTGAAGAAAACAAACTGACGAATTCTGAACCTGCACAAAATAACCGAAATGATTCTTGACAGCAGAGGAGCAACCTGTGTCGGTGGTGTAGTCGAGTTGAAGCGGCTGATAATGTGTGACTTCCTTCTGGCTGCATCAAACACAAAGCATTTTCCTAGTACTTGGATTACTAATGAGGGCTTTGCAATTTAACCATTTCTCAGGGTGTGTCATCACAATTCCCTTGAAAGAGATTCGACTTGGTTATGAGCAAACGACTTGCGTGTGTGCTGGTGCGGATTTTTTCGATGATCATTACTAATTTCTGCATAAGCCTGCGTAACAAAATCTTTACTATCTTTGTCGAAATGACATTTGCGGAATCTTGGCCCATTCTCAAAAGGCAATTTGGTTAGATTGAATTAATAGATGCCAATATGTTGGGCATAGGCTGTCGCCTATCACATACACTCTTAGCAAAAATACGCGACGCTAAAAATTTTTTTTATTATTTACTAAATATTTCACATACTTTAACCCTGATCTTACCCCGTTTGTTTTAAAGCAGATTGTAGCACGATGTGACTCGCAATCACTTATGACAATAGTGGAGATAATTAAAGTCTTATTGTTTTTTCGTTCAATTCAAGATCACTTGTGCAACCAAACAAGCTACACCCATACACATAAGATAATACACACAAGCAATTATATTTTTGGGAAATACAATATGAAAAAGTTTACACTCAAAGTTCAAAAGGGACTAAAAAAGACGACACCGCATAACAAGCTTAAGGCTAAAAATAATGCAAAAAACAATTAGCTTTTATCTAACATTGAAATAAATTGACAATTTATGAAATGTGTATTAATTAGTTATCAGGCATGATGAATCATTTTACGCCACTACAGTCTGGAATATGAAAGCGGCATCTTCACATTGATCATTGCTTTTCTAAATGTATGAGAACTATACCATTAAATAAATCGCACAGCCCAAAAAATAAAGTGGTGCGGAACTCAGTTTCGGTACAAACCGATTACAAAGCAGATGTCCTATATATATGGATATAGGTGCCGCCTACACTACATCGAAAATGAGTGCTTGCAAAAGATATGGAAGGTCATATTTCCCATTCTGACTGTTGATTTCAATTGAGGAGGAGAGTAGCTCTTTGGGACCGTGGAACGGTCACTAACCGTAGCCGCTTCACACTAAGGGAACGAGGACCAGAAACAAATGATTCGGTCTGCTCTTATCCAGCCTTTGACGACTTCTGGAGACGGAGGTAAGGTGGTAACAAACCGAGTATGTATGTGCACGTGTACGTTAAATACACGGAATTACAAAATACACAATGTGTCTAAAATAAATGATAAGACAAGACTTGAAGAAGATTTGTCTGATTTCTTTGACACATGACCATAAAAATATAGAATGCACAATTGAGTCGAAAGTTTGAAATAAGCGGTATTCAAAAATCATCCCATACAATAAATGTATAGTTCTTATAGTTGACTGCGAAGCCATAGTTTGTAATGACTTTTTACTAAATACTACTGGTCTGGTCGTTTGTAGTGAATGATGATATAAATATAGGAGAAGAAAAAAAAAAAATTTATCATTTTCTTATTTTCATTATCAACGCAACTCATTTTTATAAGTGTTTTGTCAAGCCAACAGCATCTTGCATAAAATCAAATTAGCCAGTTGTCAGCAACCAGCCAAGAGTTAATTTTTAACGACGAGGACAACGACAATAGAATGAAAAGAAAAATCAGTTTTTAACATTTGCTTTTGCTCGTTCTAATCATTTATTTTTAGATCACGAAATGGCGTATAAGTACAGCAACAAATATGGACAACGCAGTACTACTACTACACTACACAGTACATTGACAAGGAAAAATAGTCCCAAAAATAAAGCAACAGACGGTGGGAGAATCATTTTCGAGTTTTCTTTCACTGAAAAACGATTTAGTTTTAGTTTTTATGCATATATACATATATTTAACTATTTATGTAGGTGAGTGTGTATGCACATTTTATGCGCAGAAAATGTCATCAACAGCACAGCACAGCACAGCACAGCACAGCACAGTTAATCGAAATAAATTTCTAAAAAGAAAAAGTAATGAAATTAAATTTTGATACTCAATACTGACGTACCGTGTACCGTATGGAGAGGAGACTGAGTATGAGAATTTTGTTCATCCTAATTATGTCATTTCGTTTGCTGTGTATTATGCTATATGCTTGTCGGTCCGTTTGCGTCTGCCTAATGCGACTATTTCGAAATTTGCAAAAATTTC